TTTACATTAATGAGGTAATGTTATGTGGATTTTGGGAAGTGCCAGAGAATGGAGGCTGGTGGCTAGGGGAGCCAACCATGTGACTGGAGGTTTGAAGTTTTCAGTCTTACCCAACTTGACCTCTTGAAGAGGAGAAGGGCAGGAGGCAGAATTAATTGCCACTGGCCAATGGTTTAATTAATCATGCATATATAATGAAACCTCTCTTAAAAAAAAAAAAAAAGGGTAGGATTTGAGGAACTTTAGGGTTAATGAACACATGTAGGGTACTGAGAGAGTGGTGTACCTGAAGAGGGCACGGAAGTTCCAGAACTCTTGCCCTATATGTTTCTCCCATCTAGCTGTTCCTGAGTTATACCATTTCATATAATCTAGTGATAAAACTGGTTTCCTGGGTTCTGTGAGCTGTTTTAGCAACTTAGTGAAATTTAAGGAGGTCATGGAAACTTCTGATTTATTGCTAATTGGTCAGACACACAGGTTAAAAACTAGATTTGCAATTGAAATCTGAAGTGGAGACAGTTTTGTGGAATTGGGCCCTAAACTTGTAGAATCTGATGCTATCTGTTTACAGTGCCAACTGAGTTATAGAACACAGAGCTGGTGTTGGAGAATTGCTTGGTATGGGGAAAAGAACCCACATGATAGTATTGGGATCAGAATTGCAATTATAAAGCTTTATTTCTTTCCTAGACTTCAGAGAGAATTTCAAATCAACAGTTTTTCTCACCTCTCTAATACATGTGGTCAACACCCCATTTCCTCTGAAGCAGATGATACTACAATGAACTTAATCTACTTTTACTTCTTCTATGCCCTCACCCTCAAAGGCAAGGAAGGCGCCTTAGTCTTCCTCACCATACCTCATACTACTGGCCAACAGGCTTCAAATTCCTCAAAGGCAAGGAAAGCTCCTTAGTCCTGGAAACTGAAAACAACTCTGGGAACAATGAAAGTAGCATGTATTTTAAAATAGGTCAGTTTTCTATAACAGAAAAACACACATACTTTGAAATCATGAAAGACCTCAAATCTTCTTAGAGGCTATATACACTGGCCAAGTCATGTGACCTAAATTAACTACCTAATTTGTTTTACTGTAAAAGACGAGTGATACGAGGTTTGTGGCTAATAAGATTTTAATTAACAAAGTACCTAACATGTGTTTATCAAACAGTAATTAGCTCTAACAATTACTGTTACTAACAATAGTAGCAAAACATTCATTAATACACTGGCATTTCCCAAAAGTGGATGACTGGATTAAAAAGATGTGGTACACAAAAGACACAAAAACACTGATTGAAAAAGATACCTG